AAAAAATTAAAAAAAAAGAATATATACTGCTAATAATTTTCATACTGACTACACATCAACATAATATTTTGGATGCACTAAGAATAAGGCATACTATAAAAAAATAACCTCCTTTTTTAATTTTTTAATATACCTAGCAAAATTTACAATTACATATGTTTTCATTATTTTTAGTAGCCAGTACTAATCTAAATAGCTGAGATATCATACAAAAAGCTTCATAAAACAGCAAAATGTGCTTACACAGTGTTCCCAGAAAAAGTTCTGCAAACAATACTACCCCATACCATGCTTCAAAAACCTGAAACATCCCCATCAGCCAGCAAAACAAGTCACAGATTAGGAGGGGCTGCTTGTTAGGTTCTGTGTAATTACATATTACTGGCACTTGATGAAGCAGTGTTTACATGTTTGGCTACTAAACAAAAAGCTGACAGTTTGAACCTACCAGCTGCTCCACAAGAGAGTCTATTTCTGAGACAGTTACTTGTTAATATTATGGGGTATGTACAAAAATGCTGTGGGTTTTTTGTGCCTCTCTCATCCTGGTTTACAATTCTCCCCAAATAATTGGTCAGGCTACAAATTGCTATAGGGTGATTAGTTTGCTAGGCAGGTGACTAATTTCCAAGGACTGATTAGTTACATAAATGGCTTTCAAAGTTTGATAGTCTTCTGTTATCTGCATAAATAATTTGTAATTCACCCAACGGTACTGGTCAGTTTATAATCTACCTAAAAATCTGGTCAGTTTTAAGAAAGACACTGGGAGCTCTGGTGACCGAGTGGTAAAAAAACTGCACTGAAGTCCCAAAGGCATGTGGTTCAGCTGCTCCGTGGGAGAAAGACAGGCAATCTCCTCCTATGTGATTTATTTTCTCTGAAACCCACTGGAGGGTAAGCTATGGGTCAGTTCTGACTCGAAAGTACACAACAAGGAAAAGGACACACTTTGAAATGGACAAGGAGTTTTTCTCAATAAGGAGTCAATCTCAAAGAGAGACTTCCTAATCTTATTTCTATTTTACTCCACCCCTCTATCAACAAAAGCCTGAAGAGAAGTGTGTTCCTTGGGCCCAGGATCCCCGTGGGAAGAACCTCTTAGACCCAGGTAAAAGAACTGTAATACAGGTTAAACCGTTGTCGCAAATGACGGCAAATGTGTTTCTAAGCACGGTCATGAATTTAAAAGTGTGCAGCAATGTGTTAAGGGCTGAAACATTGAGCTGATAATAGAGGACCAGAAGATGCCCAGTAGCAGCAAGAACAGTCAGGGCCATAACAGTAGGTAAGTTGGCAGCAGTGGGGAGAGTTGGCCCATGAAGTAAAACTAGGCACCTCTAGGCAAGAGGTCAGCAACAGAGCTCGACACTTCTCTCCAGCAGGAGATTACCAATGGAACTGTATGCTCCATAAAGGAAAAGCAACTACAGTATAGGGTCATTGCAGGCACAGTTACCAATCAGAGTACGTCTCAGCAGATACCTTAGTTGCTAAGCACTGAAACACTAAGGTAAAAAGGAGATTGATCCTTCGGGGACCAAGAGAAGGCACACAAAGGCTTGTGCCTATATCACATAAATGTTGTCCATAAAAATTTTTCCTTGAGAGCTGTTGTAATGCCTATCTAATGCCAGCACTAGTTTCGAGTTGTCCCATAGCTGCTAGTTGGGAGTTTGCCAACAAACAAAAAGCCAGAGCTTGCCAAGAAAAGCACTAAGAGGGACCAAGCAAACAGTCATATCACCTCTGACCTGATCTGGTGGCAAACCTGCTGAGAGACACACACCTGCTGGCAACTGATTCATGAAGTGATACAGAAACAGACACAGGTAATTTAGGAAAGAAGAATGGGTTCCCTTCTAGACCTACTGGTTCCTTTCCTATGATGCAAAGTGGAGATGAGGGAAAACAGTTCACATCAAATCCGTTTCTGTTTACAGCCCTCCTTCTATAGATAATAATGACTCAATTGACAACACTCTGAAAAGCATCTGTGGGTGTGACCCAGTCAGAACCGAGAATTGAGCCCTTTTCCTAGCAGTCTCATGACTCCTTGGCATTTAGTGGTACAACCTGTGTGTATAATGCACAAGCTTCAGTGAGTAATAACATATTACACACTTCCTAGGTAGGTGCCCCTTTAAGCCAGAGCCTTTGCTGAGCAAAAAGTGAGGTTGTTTTTTTTCTCTAATGAACGCAAAAAATAATTTTACTGGAAATGCATCTGCATCCTGGGAAAAAAGTCAGGTTTTAATTTACAAATTCCTTCTTGAAATCTATTATAAACACAGGCATGTCCAACTCTACACATACCTGCTCAGTTTTGCAGAGCTTCTCTATATTAGGCTGGAACTTTGACATGCAGTCTTCTGCCAAGTTAAGATGGACAACTTGCTGGAAAAAAGATGGAACAAATCATTTAAAACATTTTTATTCTTTCTGTTTAAATGGGTAATGTATACTTTTGAGGGGCTTTAAAAAAAGGAAGCTATATTTAAGCAAGGGAAATAGCAAGACAAAGTAAAAAAGAATTTACATGATATATAGGCAGCAATCAATAAGGAAAAACAGAATGGAAGGATTGAATTAGTACTGAGTTTGCGAGTAATTAAAAAAAATGTGCAGGGAGAATAGTAAGGGCCATAAAGCCCACCAGAAAAGCATGAATTTATATTACTACTGATTCTTGTTTAAGGTGAAACATGACTTAAAAAAATGTGTCAAGATTATTTTTAGAGTGATTCTTAGAAAGACTAGAGTAGTAAAAATTAGTTTACCTGCCCACACAACTTACCTGCTTCTAATTTTATTAATTTAAAAGCATTAGTTTAAAGAAATATGCACTATCACAACCATTAATCATTCCAGTGTGGAATTTACTTACCATGTGCACAAACAGCTTGTTTTTGTTTTTTTTTTGTTAAAGATAAAAATCTACAAGAAGTTTAAGTTGTATTTGAATATATAAAGGATAAATCCATATAATGTTATTGAGAAGCTTAGATATTTGGTGCATTTTTTTCTTACCCAAAGTAAGGCTTTAGTAGACAACCAATACCAAGTATTCTAATGGCACACACACTGGCAAGTCTGACTACAGGAATGGAGGAACCAATAAGTTTTTTTTTAAAAAAAAATTGAAGGTATTTAAACAATATAGTTTACCTTAGTAATCTGTTTTCGGAAATGGGGCATCTTTTTCATCAGTTGAGTAAGAGCACTAAGTGATGTCTAGGAAAAACCAAACAATTTTTAAAGTCAATTTGTGATTCAGTTATTTTATATTACAATTTTTAAATCCTGAAGTTTTAAACATTACCAAATCTTGGCAAATTTAAAAACAAAGTCAACAATAGAATCAGACAAAATAATATTCCATTGTGGGAATGTACCATTTTCTCAATCCATTCATTTATGGTTGGGCATTTGGTTTGTTTCCATGTTCTTGCGATGGTGAATAATGCTGCTATGCACATTGGTGTACAAATCTCAGTTTGTGCCGCAGTTCTCATATTCTCAGGGTGTATTCCAAGTAGTGGAATAGCTGGGCCATATGGAATTTCTATGTTCAGCTTTTTGAGGAAGTGCAAACTGCCTTCCAGAATGGTTGCACCATTTTACAATCCTACCAAAAATGTTTAAAAGTTCCTTTCTCACCACATCCTCTCCAACATCTATTACTTGCTGCCCTATTAAACTTTGCTACTCTTACTGGAGTGAGATGGTACCTCATTGTGGTTTTCATTTGCATCTCTCTTATTTACACAGTGGAATACTATGCAGCATGCAGGAGCAATAACTTTGTAAATTATTACCTAATTTGGGAGGGACTGGAGAACATTATGCTGAGTGAACTAACTCAGTCCCACAAGAATAAACATTGTATAAAATCATTATTGTAGAATAAGTATAAGGACCCAGGAGGGGAGGGAGAGGCTGGAAGCAGAGGCATGTAGATGTGCAAGGGGAAGGGGGCACTAATCCTAGGGTTGTACAATTTGATGGGGGAGGGGGTGAGGAAAATGGAATGAATTCGTTCAAATCTGTATTCAAATTGTGTAAGTAAACTAGTAGAGAATAAAAAAGAACCAGACAAAATAAATATAATTTGTTCTCAAGGAATGATAATAATAATAAATAGCTCATAGTGGAGTTGTTTGAACAATGGAAAGCAAAGAAGGTTATTTGCATTTATCCTGGCCTTTTCCTTTGAAACATTTCTCAACAGTGGAAGGAAACCGAATTCAAGCAGAAAGCAAAAGAGAAGGAAGAAAAGCTCAGCAGTTGAGGCTACCAATGTAGAGTACAGGGAGCTCTGGCTTAGTGGGAAGGAACTGCACTGTCAACAGCTGCTTTGCAGGAGTAAGGATAATCTTCTCCCATGCCATTTACTTCCTCTTCCTCTGAGAACCCACTAAGGGGTCAGTTCTGATTCAGTGGTACTCAACAACAACGCAGAGTTGGGGGGGCAGGTACTAGAAGAGTTCAGTGTATATTCATGTTATATAATAAATCTGAATGACTGTATAAAACACAATGTGAATGAAGGAGAGTGTCAAATACAATATATATGAACTTAGTAAGCAAATCATTATAAAATAAAATTTTTAAGAAATTCAGCAATACCACAATATGCATGAAATCCTAGGCTAAATCATAATCCATACATATGCAAGGCAATACTGTGGAAGATGAAGCAAAGAATAACTTCTAAGAGTGTGGTACATAGCTAGAAAATGGACACAGATTTTGGGAGGCTTCACAGTGTTAAGGAAACACTGGCATTCTGACCTAAAGAAAGAGGGGTGAGTAATCTAACTTGTAGTAACTAGGACTAACATAAAACAAAAGTCTCAACAGAATCAAGGGGATTTATCAGCAAGTTAACTATCTGCTAAAATAAAATGCAATACTTCATTAAGAATATAGAACTTTGGAGGGCATTATGCTGAGTGAACTAACTTAATCCCACAAGGAAAAATATTGTATAAAAACCTTAACGTAGAACGAGTATATGGATCCAAAGTGGGGAGAGTGGAAGCAGAGGGATGAGGATGTCCTGGGTGAGGGGTTATTAATAACGGAGTTGTACGATTTTATGGGTTGGGGGTTGAGGGAAATTGGAAGAATCTGTTCTGGAAAACAATGTATATGAAATTTAGAAATAAACTAGTATTAAAAAAAAAAGAATTTTTTTTTAAAAAATAAAAAACTCCAATTGCTCTGTGGCAATTGCTTCCCACGAGATTTACAGCCTCTGAAAATCCACTGAAGAGTCAGCTATGAGTCAATTCCTACTCCATGGCACATTCCAGCAGAGTGTAATATACTGAGTGAAATAAGTCAGTCACAAAAGAACAAAGACTATTCTCAAAAGCTAAAGAAAGGTTTACAGGCAGAATGATTTTTGGATGTTTAGCAGGGATGGAAAAGGAGAGAGAGGGGAGTGATGATAGGTGAAGGGAAAGGCAGTATAAAGCAACTGGCTCCTGAGAGAGTGTAAGCATTGTAATTAACATGATAAAACAAAAATGGTATGCGAGTGATAAAACGCAAAACCAACATGCTTGACAAACTTTCACTCAAATCACACTGAAAAAATAAAAGTGAATATTTTTAAAGTTACAGGGGCAGGGGATAAGACTATATAGAACTTTCCAATGTATCGTCAGAGCAGATTATCCGAGAGGCTGGGCTCTATGAGGAGAAGCGTGGCGTTAGGATTGGTGGACGATCTATCAACAATCTGCGTTATGCAGATGACACAACCTTGCTCGCTGAAACTGAGGAGGACCTCATGCACTTACTGCAGAGGGTCAAGGACTGCAGCCTTCAGTATGGATTGAGGCTCAATGTCAAGAAGACAAAGATTCTCACCACTGGACCAATTGGTAGCATCAGGATGGATGGCGAAGAGATTGAGATTGTTCACAGCTTCAGTTTGCTCGGCTCCACAGTCAAAACTCTTGGCACCAGCAGCCAGGAAATAAAAAAATGTATTGCGATGGCAAAGTCTGCTGTTAGGAACCTCTCTAAAGTACTCAAGAGCAACGGTGTCTCTTTGGAGACGAAGGTGCGCCTGATACAGGCCATGGTCTTTGCAATCACTTGTTATGCATTAGAGAGCTGGACAATGACTGGGGAGGACAGAAGGAGAATTGGCACCTTTGAGCTGTGGTGCTGGAGAAGAATACTGAATGTACCATGGACTGCCAAGAAAACAAACAGACTGATCCTAGAGAGGGTTAAACCAGGCTACTCCTTGGAGGCAAAGATTCTGGGGCTTCGTCTGACATACTTTGGACATGCTGCAAGGAGAGACAGGTCTTTGGAGAGGTATATCATGCTGGGTAGAGGGACAGCGCAGGAGGGGAAGACCCTCTATGAGGTGGATTGATTCAGTGACTGGGGTAATTGGGATGGGTGTGTCAGAGGCAATGCGATTGGCACAGGATAGAGCAGGGTTTAGGGCTGTTGTACATAGGGTCGCTATGAGTCGCAAACACACGACGGCACATAACAACTACAATAACAATGTATCGTCTACAATGTCTAGAACATAATAAAAAACTAGACAAGTATTAAAAAGTAATTGACACTCAAGCAGACTCAAGTTGATCCAGACTTCAAAATAACACACTTATATTACAGAAGATAGAGGGAAAATATAGAATAAATGAAAACATAAAGCAATTTAACAGGAAATCAGTATTGAAAAAAAACCCCAATAATGGATGTCCTAGAAAATTAAATATAGCTGAAATGAAGAATAAAACAAATATTCATAGAGATTGTTGGCAGGAATGTAAAATAGCATAGTCATTTTGGAAAACAGTCTGGCACTTTCTTTCAAAGTTAAACATATATTTACCACAAGACCCAGCAATCCCATTCCTAGGTATTTACAAAAGTGAAGGAAATGTCTGTTCACACAAAAAGCTGAATGTTTATCGTGGCATTATTTATAACTGCTAACAGTTTGGAACAATACAAGTGTCCTGACAACCGTGAACAAGAAACTGTGGGGCCACCTACATGATTATAGATATCATCCATAAAATATGATTCAGAGGGAGTTCTGGTAGCCTAGTGGCAAGGAACTGCACTGCAACCCCAGAGGTACACAGTTCAAATCAACCAGATGTTCTGCTGGAGGAGGAGGGACAATCTCCCCCTGTACCAGTCAGATCCAATTTGGTGGTATACACATGCAAAATTTTTTTTTTTTAAAAAAAAGATTCCGGAATAAGAAATCAAAGTAGTACTATATGTAACAGGAATAATTCTCAAATGCATTATTCTAAATTAAAAAAGTCTTATTGTATTATTCCATTTACATGATGTTATGAAAAAGACAAAAACTATAGAGAGAAAACAGATCAATGGTTAACAAGGGGTAGAGGATGACAAGCAAAGTTGTTTGGAAAGGACATGGGTAATTTTTTAGGTAAAAAAATTGCTTTATTTCTTGATTAAAGTAGTTAAATACAGGAGCATTTGTCAAAAGCACCAAATCAAACTAGCTGTAAAGAAGCTCTATGACACTGATATGGCTAAGGTCAACACTCTGATTAGGCCTAATGGAGAGAAGAAGCCTAATGACTATGACGCTTTGGATGCTCCAACAAAATTTGGATCATCTAAATTGAGTTCAGCTGGCTAATTCTAAATATAATTTTTTCTCACCAAAAAACCACAGATAGTCTGCTGTCAGAGACCTCTCCAAGGTACTGAGGAGCAATGATGTCAGTCTGGAGATTAAGGTGCACCTGATATAGGCCATGATCTTTACCACTATTTGCTATGCTTCAGAGGGCTGGACACTGACTAGGGATGATAGAAGGAGAGTTAATGTCTTTGAGCTTTGGTGCTGGAGAAGAGTACTGAATTTACCATGGACTGCTAGGAGAACAAACAAGTTCATCCTAGAGAGAATGAAGCCAGGCTGCTTCTTGGAGGCAAGCATTCTGAAGCTTTGTCTGACATATTTTGGACATGTTGGAAGGCGGGACCAGTCCTTGGAGAGGGACATCATGCTTGGGAAAGTAGAGGGACAGCACAGGAGAGGAAGACCCTCAGTGAAATGGACTGATTCTATCACTGGGGCAACAGGGATAGGCGTGTTGGAGACAATAAGATTGGCAGGGGATAGAGCAGGGTTTAGGATTGTTTTACATAGGGTTGCTATGAGTTGCAAGAGATTCAACGGCACATAACAACAACTACTACTACAACAACAACAAATGTACATTAAAAATTTTTTAAACATATTAAGTGGATTTAAACAATAGACTGGATCAAACAGAACACAGAAGAAGGTGAATCAAGGTTAACAGAAAATAGTCAATTAAAGCAGAGAATGAAAAGGGGAAAAATAAAAAGAACAGAATATAAGAGATGCAGAATATGGTCAAATGCAATTAAGAGTCCAGAAAGATACAAAAGAGAAACATGAAAAATAATGACCAAAAATGTCATAAATCTTATGAAAATTATCAAATCTAGTGACACAAGTAACTCAGTAAAACCTAAGAAGGTTAAAAATCACATCATTGTCAGGCTTTGGTCAACCCGCTAAAATCAAAAGATATAGAAGTTAAAATCCTTAAAAAGACAGCTATCTTATTGAAAACCACAATTAAGACGAAAGCTGATCCTTTTAAAAAAATTGGTAGCTGGAAGGCAATGAATGTATATAAATCTTTAAACTGCTGAAAGGAAAAAAAAAAAAACAAAACCCCAAACCTCAACCTGTCAATTTTAAGTATTAAATCTAGCAAAAAAATCTGACATACTTTGGACATGTTGGAAGGCAGGACCAGTCCTTGGAGAGGGACATCATGCTTGGGAAAGTAGAGGGACAGTGCAGGAGAGGAAGACCCTCAATGAGATGGATTGATTCCATCATTGGGGTGGGGGAAAAAAAGTAAAATAAAGATATTCTCACACCTAAAAAGGAAGCTGTGATAATGCCTTCATCCTGGTGGCCTCATGGTAAGGAATTATGCTGCCAACCCAAAGGCACATGGCTCGAATCCACCAGCTGCTCCATGGCAAAAAGCTGGGCAATGGAATAAGTATGAGATATCATCTCACCCTAGTCAGAATTGCAAAATTTAACAGAACAGCAAGCAACAAATGCTGGCGAGGTTGTGGAGAAACTGGGACCCTTATTCACTGTTGGTGGGAGTGTAAAATGGTGCAACCACTGTGGAAGGTGGTGTGGCGCTTTCTCAAAAAGTTGCAAATAGAGACACCACTTGACCCAGCAATTCCACTACTGGGAATATACCCAAAAGAGACAATAACTGACATCCAAGCAGATATATGCACACCCATGTTCATTGCGGCTTTGTTCACAATAGCAAGGAGTTAGAAACAACCTAAGTGCCCATCAACAAACAAATGGATAGAGAAGATGTGGTATATTCACACAATGGAATACTATGCTGTATTGAAAAACAAGGAACTCATGCAATACTATTCAAAATGGGTGACCCTGGAGGACATTATGCTGAGTGAAGTATCTCAGTCACAAAAAGTCAAATACTGCATGGTGCCACTGTTGTAAAACAGGACTGATCTTGGGGTCGGGGAGAGACTGAGAAAGATGGGTTCAATAATGTATACTACATTGAAACAGATGAGGGGGAAAACTGTTTAAAAGGTAAATGTGATTAGTACTTTTGTCATGACAGGAGTCTAGAGCAAAGGCTGCATGGTGGAGTGGACCTGGGGGAGGGCTTGTAAAACAATGAAAGAATTTGTCTTTTACTTTTCCAAGAGGGTAGTGCACTAGGGGGGAGACGTGGGAAGGGAGAAAAGTGCAACAATGAATGAATGGAAATCCACAGTGTCTGTAAATTTTTACTGAAATTAACAATAAATTGAAGTTTAAAAAAAAAGCTGGGTAATGGCTGCACAAGAATGGATTTCTCTTCTTTGGTGTATATGAGAGATCTCCTAAGATTAAAAGTTAAATAAAACAAGAATTTGAAACTTTAAAATTTACCTTCATCATTATTTGAAAATAAAAATAAGATTCTTACCTTTCCTTCTGTTGCTTTCTTTGTTGATGAAATTTCTTTCATAAGCTTGGGAATTTCCCTGTCAAACGGTGAGATAATGACTTAAATTTTTAAGGTGCACAACTTTACTAAAGAAACTATTTTAATGTGATAAAATGTACTACTATTTATTTAGTGACTAAACAATACGTAATAAAACTTAAAAGGGATCACATACTCCAATACTACTGCAATATGCCAATGTCGAATCCTGACCCAAAGGTCATCGTCTTCTTCAAGGACTGCCTCCTTTTCTTTTCCATCAGTTTTATATCTACAAGTAGAAAGATACATGCAATTTTTAGATATCCACCCCCAAAAGTGGAAGAAATATTTTTGTAAGCAATTTTAACATAGAGTTCAAGAAAGCTGGATACTTAATATAGTTCATCCACAATTTTAAGAGGATAATAATACTGGCTCAAAACTAAGACACACTGGTATCTTTACACTAGAAAAAATTAAAGTGTTATGACTACCAACACATTTTCAATTTTCAACTGCAAATTTATCAGTCATCAGATTTTTCATTAGTTCAATAAAATTTTTTAAATAAAACAAAATTCAACATTCTATAATCAACTTTAAGAAAAATATGTAATATACTAAAGATGTACATATTAGCACAATTAAATGTTCTGGGATTCCCATTCTTCTCAGAGTCAGCCACAGTTTGTTATGATCCACACAGTCAAATGCCTTTGCATAA